TCTTGACAGACGGACAAACGGAAAGGGTGAATAGGTAGCTGGAGGATTATTTGCGATGCTATGTCTCAAGAGACCAAACCGATTGGGTAAGTCATTTGGGACTTGCGGAAATGTGTTATAACAACTCACCACATTCGAGTATCAGGGTGAGTCCATGGGAAGTCATCAATGGGCGAGCTATTGAAAGTCCTGTGGAACTCGGCTTGGCCGAGTATCATGGAGAGTTACCCGCAGTGGAGGCATTCACAGTCCAAAGACTCAGCATTTGGAATCTAGTGAGGGATTCCTTGGAACAGGCTTAACAAAGGCAAACCAAGTACGCGAACCAAAAGCGCCGGGATGTAGAGTTCCAAACTGGGGAGAAAGTGTGGCTGAACACCAAGAACCTCAGGCTACCAAGTGGGATCAGTTGGAAGTTGACCCAAAGGTAAAAATGCATGTATTCCTGTAAATGAATTGATCTTGAGTTCCCTAAGCAGGTTTGTGGGGCCTTACGAGATTGAGGCGCGAATCGGTAAAGTGGCTTACCGTCTCCGACTTCCTCAAGAGATGGGGAAGATGCACCCCGTGTTCCACGTGAACTTACTCAAGCAGTACTTTGAGGATCCGCTTCGCAAGGACCAAGTAAAACCTTTACCTAAAGTTATTCAAGGGGAAGAGGAATACGAAGTCAAGGCCATCCTCAATGCGCGCAAGAGCAAGCGACAAGGACGTGAGGTGAGAGAGTTCCATGTGAAGTGGAAAGGATTTCTACACTACGAAGCAACATAGGAACCGAAGGAGAACTTGGCGAACACGCAAGTCCTAGTGAAGGAATTTTTGCAAGATAGAACTCTATGTACTTATGCAAAATTCAATTAAAGCATCAATATGTGAAATTGAGTAATGGCATATATTGGGACCCGAAAGCACACCGAAAGTAAGCTAATTACCATGGGTTAGCTAGGTTGACCAGGCATAGGGAACTACACCAGACTCCCTATGAGAATGTCGAATCCGTAAATGTATTCTACGGAGGTTGGGTTCAAGTCCCAACCCCCTAGTAAAGAAAGGTTGGGTTCAAGTCCCACCCCATACTAGGGCATGGTGAGGTGAGGGGTATAGGGACACCTATATTTCGTTGTCATACTCTTGGCGGGAGAAGCTAACTTAGGCACACTGCTAAGTGGGGGGATGCCCTCGGAGATATGGTCAACAAGTCGTAGGATTAAAAAGAGACGTTCAATGTGGGTGTTGAATTTCTCCTATGGGTGGCGGAGTTGTAAGGAACTAACTCTCCGAGATGTTGTAGGCTAAAGGATCCCTGAAGGCACGACCGAAATAATAAAGAGTTCATCGGATGGGACCGAGTATGAGATCGAGTCCAAGACCGACTCTGAGACTGAGTTCAAGACAAAGTTCAGGATCGAGTCCGACGCCGACTTCGAGACCGAGTTCGAAACCAAGTCCAAAATGCGAGATTAGGTCTGAAACTGAGTCCAAGGTCGAGTCTAAGACAGAATCCGAGATCGGGTCCAAGATCGAGTCCAAGGTTGAGTCCGAGACCAAGTCTGAGGTCAAGTCCGAGATCGAGTCCGAGACCGAGTCTGAATACTAATACAGGTTGAGGGGTGAAAGCCCAAAGCATGTGTCTAGAAGGGGGGGGGCTACAAGGGGTTCCAAAAGTGTAGTAGGGATAGTGATGTCTAGGAACTAATCTTGGAAGAACTCTCTAGTGGTGCTTCCAAATTGACTTGAGGTTGAGACTGGGGCCAAGGGGCCTCGGGTGGGAGTGAGCATGGACTTGGGTGGTGTTAAAAGGGCCACCCAAGGAAATGCTCAAGACCAGCTCCCATTCTTAGAAGGGAAACCAACTACAGTGCTCCTGGCTTATGTGGAGTGGTGCCCTACTTAAGTACCTTGTGACTCATTAGTCCTCGCCCCTTCCTAGGGGCTTAGGCCTTCCCTTCGGGATGGTAGTGGGGGAGTAAAGGTACCCATACCGGGCCGTTAGGCCATAGTGTTTTCCTCTGGTGTCCCAAAGCAAGTGTTGCACCCAAGGCTTAGGATTTAGAAGCAAGTTTTGTTGTACCAAAGGATGTTAGAAATCTAGAGGCCTTGTGTGCTTGGCTACTTGTGCCTGTAGGGAGTGTAGCCAAACCTTAAGTCCAGTCTAACTCGGGAAAGGGGATTGAAAGAGATTTAGGAATCGGTATATATACAAAAACATTGGCTTACACCTCGGAGATT